CTGTCTCCTGGTAGCGCCTCCATGCTCTGGACGCTACGCTGGCAGACACAGCAAACCTTCTTGCCACAGCTCGCATTGATGTGCCGTCCTGGATGAGCTGCACTACCTGAGCGACTTGTGTGGGTTGTAGACTCCATCTCATGCTACCACTAGAGTGAAAGCACCGCCAGCATTCAAAAGTGACCAAAACATCAGCCAGGAAGCATAGGAACTGAGAAGTTCCTGTCTCCACCTGCTGGCACGTAAAGCCGTCTCCTACCAGCGTTGTTCCAAAGACTTCTATTCCTGTCATCATCACGCATAGACCAGTAAACCGAAATGTGCACATCCCACACAGAAATATTAGTAATCTCTTAAGGATTAGGACAACTGCACCAACTCCAGCACCCAAAACAAACTCATTTAAAATGGCTCTCTTCAATGTGAGATCTCTGTCAAGTAAGACTTTTATCTTAAATGATTTTATCTTGTCTGCAAATCTAGATTTTATGTTTTTAACTGAATCCTGGTTGCAAATGAATGACTATAGCCAGCTAGCTGAACTGTGTCCGCCTGAATATGATTGTTTTAGTCAACCGAGGGTCAGTGGTCGTGTTGGTGGGCTAGTGAGCGTGTATAGGAAAAATTTAAAATGTCATCAAGTACGCTGTGATGGATTTAACTCTTTAAAGTTCTCACTCTTAAAGTTGGAGGGCTGCAACCTATCATATTTGTTGTAATTTATCGCCCCCCAAAACCGCCTGGAGGATTTTTATCAGAACTTCCTGAATTTTTATCTACTCTGGTTTTAAATTATGACAGAATTGTTCTTTGTGGCGACTTTAATATTCATGTTGATGACCCCACCAATGTTAATGCAACTGACTTTTTAAATATGGCCACTTCTTTTAACTTCAAACAACATGTCAAAGGGCAAACACATAAACCCTTTTATACACATAACACATAAAGTTCCCTTTATTTGTTTGAGCAGTGTATATTATATATATTTACAATTTGTATTTAAAAGAGGAATAACTAAAGTAAAATTTGAAAGTGCTCTCAACTTTAGATTTATTGTCTAAAAAACAAAAATCTATCTTTACACTTTTTAACAAAAAAAATACAAAAAACAGTTTGGCATCTTGCTTTGTCCTTGAAACAATATTCTCAGGCACTTTGAGCTAATAGCATATTTGGCTTGGAGTAGCTTTCACCCAAATTGTATGCATCATTCACTTAAATATAAAGTAGTTTAAAAGAGTAATACATTTGACATGATTCTTGACACTTATTTCCTTTTAAAATGTATATGAACTATCAGGATTGAATGTAAATAATTGGATAAGATTTGGACAGAGATTGCCTGAGACTGCATACTAATTTGCTCATTTGTCTGGTTTTCTAATGCACATAACTGAAGGAATTGAAGGAAAATAGAGGGTTAATATATTTAAGAGCTAGTAGACTTCAGCTAAGGCCTCTTTTACCACTAATAGCACTGACAGCATAGTCAACACTGTACCAGCAGCTGGGAATCAGAGCAAGGGACTGACGAGCATCAGCATTTAGGGAATTTTCCAGAGCCTTAAATGTGCACATGTGATATGCTCTAAACCACAGAAAACTGAATGAAAAACTGTCAGAATGGTTGAGCAATAAAAGTATATGAAAAAAGGCGGAGAGAAACGTGCACATGTGCCACGTGTTATATTTAAAACTGTTTGGTTTGGGTAAATATGCTACAGATGTACTGAGTGATTGCAGACCCTGACATTTTGTGTCAACTATTGTTAAGTTCAAACAGTTTTGTGCCTGTTTGTAATTACTAATAAGCATATGGAAGTGTTCAACAAAATGATCTAGCACTGTGAAATATTTGCTACTTTCTACAAAATTGTAGAATAAGGCATACCATTGTCACACACAGATATAAAGCTCCACAGAGGGTAGTGAATTACAAAAGTTTCACATTGGTGTCAGCATCCATTTAGTTCTTGAGGAGATTCAAATGCTGAGGAATGGCAAGATAAAACTGATAAAGGCACACCAGTCGGGTTTTCAACAAGAAGCAGCTCCCAGAAGAATAACACTGTGAACTGACTGAAGTTTTGTTTTGGGAAAGTGAAAGGAATTCATTCAACCGGAATTAATGAATAATGTGTACAATACTCATTTTGTCAAACCCACACTGAAACTATTAGAGAAACAACAAACATGTGATCTATACAATCTATGAAGTGGAAGCAACAGAGCAGAGGTCAGGTACATATTACATCATATTGATTTTTTTCTGAAGTACGTAGACTGCAAAACTTAAGCAGGTGGATACAAAGTTGAGGTTTTCCCCAGACAAATTAATTCAATACAGCAGTCAATAATCCATTTCCCCCTGAGCACTCAAGTAGCTGCATGTCAATATCACATTGACTTGATATGTTCAGACCCCACTGAGGCTTCTCGTTGCCACATTACTCTCATACCCTCAGCTGCGCTACCAGCTGGTAAAATGTAAATGCCTGTGTCACTCTGCCACACTAACCCAGGTTCTTGATAGTAACCTAGTGCCTCTTCTTGCATATGTGAAAATGTGACCTATACTCCCCTGGATGAATGTAACCTTTCCTATCTAGGCTGTGTGTGTGTGTGTGTGTGGTGTGTGTGTGTGTGTTTGTGTGTGTGTGTGTGTGTGTGTGTGTGTGTGTGTGTGTGTGTGTGTGTGTGTTCTTGCTTCCCAAAAGAGCTCACTCAGACCTGGCAAAATCTCTAGACGTTCCCTGGGAGCCGTTCCGTTGGTCCAGACTGCCAGCAATGTGGACGCTCAGTTTAAAAGGTGTATACAAACAGTTTGTGTTGGTATGGGAACAAACTCTGTCTCTAGTTGTCTCCAAAATGTCTTGCCTTCTGCATCCTTCTTGTGGCATATCCAATCCAACTCAAACACAAAAATCCCTCACCTAAAATAAACCCAAAAAGATTACCAGAACAGCCCAACATATTGATGTAATCCATTTAGGCCGGCTATCGGCAGAAACACTGAGATGGCACTGTGGAGGTGAGGTCCCTTTAGAATGCACATATTGAAACGGTATACTTCCGAGT